TTTTTCTGCACGATTACCGATATTTCCCAATGCGAGATGGAAACTTGTTCTTCAGATTTATTAGGATTGTTGTCAGCTTATTCAAGACTTCTCGAGCTTCTCGGAGTACCTTTACTCGTCCTTGAGCTTCCTAAAAATATTTCACCTCGTCACTTGCAATAAAGGGTTTTGAAGAAGTTCTTCTCTATAAAAGACTTTTTGATCCCTGTCGATGAAGGATAACAATTCTGCTGCGAATTTCAAGGTTTCATTTATAATGATCAAGCAGGACTCACACTTGACTGTCGTCCCCGCTCTTGCAACCATCCTTGCAACAAATCTTAAACGCGTGCAATGCCTTCAAAGGAGGGAAATCAGCAAAGCATCCAGGTTTTCCATAATCTGTATTACTCTTATGTTAATCATACATTGCACTCTCTCATTAAATATTCTTTGGGTTTCCAAAGCACAGAAAGAAGTTTACTCTTCAATTGTCTTTATTATCGCATGGTGATGTGCAAATGTGTAAGTGGCGATTGCTTTTGAATAGGAGTTGAGAACCTCTTGAAAATAATAGAAATATTTACAATTAAACGGGACTCGAAAATTTGACGATAAAGAATAACAAAGAGAGAGAAGAAAGAGAGAATAGATGATTTTCTCTAGTCATTTTTTTCTGATGTTTTTGTCTGATTTCCTCAATTGCACATCAAGTAAATAAAGAGGGTAGGTTTCTTCGTCTGTGCGGGGAACAAGATAATTTGGTTTTATCAACTAAGTTGATAATGTAAATTGGCTACCGTAACAGGTTTAAAAGCTGACGTTTCGGACGTTAGCCATTCGTCTGAGTGAACATCAAGTAAGTTGTTTCTGCGAAGGAAGTATGCATTGTGATAACTGAAACGGAGCAAGTGGCGTTGGTATCACTTCTGTTATAACAGCAACTACATGTATCCGAGCATATTAAGTTTATAAAGATCCTTGTCTGGATTTTTGGGGGCAGCGGACATAGAAATAACACAAGCCCTGAATCACATGCATCGTGAGTTCTCTATTAACTACCCTATCTGTTGATTATATCAAATAAATCATGTTCTTTCAAGAAGGGATTTTCAAAAGGATCAAGGTTATTTAGCAAACATTGTAAAGCTTCCTGTGAAAAATAATTTACTCACCATGGTGAACTCAACATCCCAAGTTGCTTTATCACTTAATAGAGCCCAGAAAAATGCGATCTACTGCTTTTATGACATAACTAGTTACAGGCGGGCTCTAAAACCTGATAAAGCATCCGCTTGAAAACTGAATAGACCAATCAGACGATGCGTACTGTGTAAGTGTTCATTATGTTATATACATGAAGAGAGTCTCGACATGAAATTCAAGGATCGTCAATGAAACCTATACATTAATCCAAAATCAAAGTTGACAATCCCACGTAGTATAAAACCGTGCGGTTATTATCAATTTTTAGCTACGAGAATCATCTAATCGGCCATTGGAAGAACTCAGAGAACAATCGCTTTAGGAGTGGAAAAATCTACATCTCAAAAGAGGCGGTAACCTTCTTGCTCTCACGAAAAAAGTAAAAAAGCTTAACGTTTTTCCTTGATTTCATCTCTGAAACTATTCCCACAAAAAGTAATTAACATCTCCGATTCTCCAAACATAAAAAATACTGAGCTTGGCTGACTACTCCGGAGCTCTTATCACGTTCTCTTCAGTGAACACTTCACAAAAAATGCATTCTACACCTAACTTGTTGAATAAATTGCAATGTATTTTTGTCCACCACAGCTGCGTTCGTAGTCTCCTTGACACGGTAACATACACTCCTCATTTCTGACCTTTGATTCCCTACTGAAATAAAATCCACAGAGGCACTCAGACGCCATTAATAAACCAGCAAAAGTGAAGCCGTTAGAACCACAGTGATCCACGCAGATGTCTGGAACCATAGCTGGGTGTCCCTCATACCTGTGCTTCAGTTGCTGTAGAGGATCAGAGTTGTGAAAACAACCTACATATGCCCCAATTGAGGATCTAAAGGTATCTGAGGGAAAAAACCACAATGTTCTTTTGTTAATTTGAGACTTAAAAACTGTCAAAGAGATACGGGCACAATTATCCACCTTTTGCGAGTCTGTGACAATGCACACCACGCCTGCCGTCATTGTCCACAAATCTTTGTTGGTAGCAATGTTGTAATGGTTATTCCGAGAGAACAGGAAAGGGACTTAGAGTTTGAGGAAGGTGGCAGGGATTTTAACAGTAACGTGTTAACCACGGCCATATGGGAGGAATGGCATATAATTTTCAATTATACATTCAAATTCAAACTAGTTGTTTCCGTTGAAAGAGACGACAGCTCATTCACATGATACTTAGTTCCCCTTTTGCTGCACCAGTGAGTTTTTTTTTTATCTTTGATCGAAGACAGAAGGTGTAAGGGAACAGCGGCAGAAATAGGAGAGGAGGAAACATTGTGTTCTCCCTCTTCAAGAAAACTGATTATTCACCAGTAAGTTTAGATTGAGAAACTTCTTTGGATTCCGGAAATTCGTCGTCCTTCTCTTGCTCGTCTTCATCACTGAAATCTTTAAAACCTGGTTGGACCTGGTTGAAGGTGAACTGAGGTGCGTTTGGTGTAAAATGTGCATCTGTCGGAAACTTCGACGCAGCCTGCGAACTGCTCTTAACTATGGTAGAAACTGGAAAAATAAATGCCAATAAGTCTTTTGTTTGGTCATTTTGAAATTGCTATATACGCATTGACTTTCATTTTGCACGATCGTAAGTTTACATTGTCTAAGAAAAAGAAATTGTGGTGGCTTTGAAAACGTAAGTTGGGATGAATGTGAGAGGATAGAGAAGAAGGTAAAAAAAAAGAAAACAACTTCACATCAACTAGCAAAATACAATAGATCCCCCTTATTGCTACCGAGCGAACCACGTCACCACTATAATACGTTGTATAGTACACCATCACTCTTAAAATGACTTACCTGTCATGATGAGTAGGCACTTTACCGAGATAGAAAACAAAATGCACCTTACATACCTGGCAGGGGGACATTAATGTGAAGTTGACCATTCCCAGGATCCAGCGTAAAGGTGTGAGTGACATTCTGCCCATTGGGAAGATGCAGGAATACCTCATAATCTCCCAGGAAACCACGAAAGTCAAAGTAGGCATCTGATTGGTCAATAGATGTCGCTGATATTGCGAGATGCGTAGTCCATTGTTTCAGAAGACTGCGGTAACGTAAACCAGCGGCATTAATCTATTTTTTAAGAGAGATAAAAATGAGTTGCCACGATAAAAACGTGACTACGAGCGACAGTGGGGCTCTGATGGTGATTGCGTTTTGCTGGGATTGAAGAGACTCCTGCTCAATATCAACTCAGCCTTACACCCCTTTTTATGAGCTGACTCATAGTTTATTACAGGGTAGACTAGACCATTGCAAATGACTTGCTCTTTGGTCTGTTCTTTTCATTCAATCGATCGCTAAGAAAATACCTAATCTAACATTACTAAATGCATGTTCGCCCGGGATATGTTTTGACTTAACCGAGATGTCGAAAACCCTGTTTTAGATGTCGATAGATCTACATACATACAATTATGAGAAAGAACAATTGCAGCATAGGGAACTCGACTCTGGCTCAAACCTTCCAATCGTTTCCTTCAACAAGTGAAGTATACGGTCCCCTCCATGAGCTATGGTCCCAGAAACTCCACAGAATCAAACCTTGAACGCCAGGAGTACTAAATGCAGTGCGCATGACGGTTTCCAGGCTGTCCGCTCTTTTCACAGGGTCTTTTTCAAGAACATCGACCTCTGTCAACCATATTGGAATCCTGGCTTCACTTAGCATGTTAAGGCGATACTAAAATGCAAGAATGATCAGGAGCTTTAAAAGTCTCTCGAATAGTATAAAAGCCGGCGAGTGCTTTTGAGCCAAATTGAGCAAACGCTACACTGCATTGCTAAAGCCTAAACCATGTATGCGATCAAGGGACCAGAACTTTGCGCATGAAATAGTTTTTACCTACACCAAACCTACAGTTTTGGCGAGCTTTATCGAGAGATTATTTATCAAGAAGTGTTTTTTATCCCGGCTTCTTATACACCTCGAACCTTTTTATTATGATATATTGTCAGATTTCATCTTTGCCTATAGACCAAATTACAACTGTGAAACCTCTTTATTAAGACTGATAGAAGACTGGAGGAAACGCCGTGATTATAAAGAAACTGTGGCAATCGTTTCTATGGACTTATCAAAGACCTTTGACAGTATCCCTCATGCTATCTTGCTTGTTAAACTCAAGGCTTATGGTCTTGGCGAGATGAGCATTGGACTCTTGAGGAGCTACCTTTATTCAAGAATACAGCACGTAAAAATTGGAGACACATTTTCTGAATGGGAGTCAGTGAGAAGAGGAGTCCCCCAGGGAAGTGTCATTGGCCCCATATTTTTCAACATTCACATCAATGAATTATTCTATCACATTAAGCAGGCAAACTTCAATGCCTTTGCCGATGATCAACAGTTGTACTCGTCTGACGAGGACCTCGAAATGTTAAACACACGACTGGAATACGAACTTGGAATTGCCAACAGTTGGTATGAGCGAAATGGCATGATTGTAAATCCAGACAAGCATCAGGCAATGGTGATTGGTGCGAATGGTGAATATGACTTTTCTTTTCCTGTTAAGAATTCAATTGAATTATTGGGCGTAACTATCGACAGGGATTTGAGCTTTAATTGTCATATCTCACAGATGTGTGAAAAGGTTAATAAACAGTTTGGTGTTCTTAAGAGATTTAAAAACATTATTATCAGTAATGCAATGCTGCGTTTGTATAAAGCTTTTATTCTACCACACTTTCAATATTGCTCTCTTATTTGGCATTTTTCTGGGACTAGAAATTGTGATAAACTAGAGTCTTTGAACAAACATATTTTACGATTTATTTGTAATGAGCCACTGTCTAGTTATGATGATCTGTTAAAGAAAGCAAAGATAGCACCCTTATATACTGGAAGACTTAACAAAACTCTAATGGTAGTTTTCAAGAGCTTATTTGTTTCTATGTATCCTGGATATCTAAAAGAACTTTTTGTTCTTCGTAATTCCAGTTATTCACTGAGAGGAAGAATATTCTGACTCTACCTATACCAAAAACAACAAAATATGGTCTTGAGGGCATCCGATATCAAGCAGCAAAAACTTGGAATTCGCTCCCGAACAGCATGAGAACACTTACATCATTTTAAGATTTTAAGATAGCCATAAGGAAAATGAACTATTAGTGGTAATTTTTTTTATTATTGTATTGGTAGTAGTTCTATTTATAATTTGACAGAATTATGTACTTTTCTTTCTCGAAGATATTAGCTCAACAGAGCTACTCTGAAAATTCGAGTTGAAATAAAGTATATGTATGTATGTGTGTACCTAGAAACCCTACATATTATATATATTGAGTCTTCTTCAGTTGAAAAGGCCCCCACATTATATTATTTTTGGGAGTGCCTGCTAAAGACATTAATATGGACTCTTTTGTCATTGAATAAAAAATGTACCGCCCGTCATTACGCTTACCTGAAGTAGCGAAGGATTCACGTGACCAGTGAAATGGCCCTGAACTCCAATTCCGTCCAGCGGAATGCCGCGTAATAGCAAATCCTTGGCCTCCTCCAACAAAGCCTGAAATCATGATTAAAGAGGTCGCTTATACTAATCTATCCCTAGCATCCGTCACGGCTGCGATCTAAATGTAATTTTACGTTATTCTTAATCATCGATGTTGGATTATTCCACTGATAAGATTATTTTCGAAAACATACTCATGCTGCTCACTTGAGGACCGCAAGGGAACTTAACATTCCATTGGATGCGAATAAGTAGTCACCGTCTTATTGCGACACGTAAATTTAGATTTTATTACATGTAAATAAATGAACCCAATCAAAAGTATTCTTGATTATTAAAGATTTATCCAGCCATCAAATGGTAACAGGACTTTTTTTTTCTCATGTGAACAAACGTTCTGTTTCATAAGTTTTCTGTGTGGGAATATTCGTTGAACATATCAGAGAATACGATGAATATATGAGGTTCATATATTTTAAACTGCGGTTATAGATACGTATGATGCACGATCCTCGCAGTAGAGAACGCTATTTATGCAACAGCGAAGATCAGACCTGAAAAAAATCAGGCCTGTACGGGATTCGAACCACTGACCTCTGCGATACTAGTGCAGCGCTCTACCAGTTGAGCTAACAAGCCAACTGGGAGCAGGCCGTTAAGTTGATTCGTAATAAACCCGTGATGATAAAATATATGAACTTCATATATTCATCGTATCTGATTTATCATCACGGGTTTATTACGAATCAACTTAACGGCCTGCTCCCAGTTGGCTTGTTAGCTCAATTGGTAGAGCGCTGCACTAGTATCGCAGAGGTCAGTGGTTCGAATCCCGTACAGGCCTAATTTTTTTCAGGTCTGATTTTCACTATTGCATAAATAGCGCTCTCTACTGCGAGGATCGTGCATCATACGTATATCAGAGAATGTTTAACTTTAAACTATTAGATAGATTTAGCCAAGCCTAAAAGTGGAGCTCCTAAGTTCGTGATATTAATGATAACATAAAAGATGTGCATTTGCCAAGACTCGCCTGAGACACCCCACCCTTCGTTTTGATAATTTCCCCTACCCTACCCGTGCAATCTGAAGGCACGTACGGACGTACGTACTACGCTCGGTCAGTCACGTGACAACCAAACGAAAAGAGGTTGACCATATTCCATGGGTATGGGGCTCTGCCTCACGCGTGGGAAGCGCGCGTGGGAGCCCCGCTATGAACATCAGATTTCTATGGCACAATTGTTGATAGGGGCGAAACCCGAATAATTTATCACGAATTCGAAACCGGATAATCTAGTGGCTTAGCTCTTCAAAACTTTACAATAAAGCAGGCTGTTTGCGTTTGTTAGCTTTTTTTTTTCTCAAAGACACACTGTTCGGGCTACTCATGCCTTTTATCGATTCATCGTTCAGCGTAGAATAGGTGCCATGCTAAGATCGAAGCGTAGCCAATTAGATTGTAACACTTGTAGAGGAACGCTAGTTGATATATCTTAAAACAGTTTAATTTATAGAGTTAAGAAATCCAACTTTGAAACAGAGCTTGACTCCATTAAAGCAAGACTTCGTCTATTTGAGATATACAACGTCTGTATGAACCTTCAAGCGCTCTATTCACCTGAGTCAGTTGGCCATTTTCTACCACATCAAAATCATTGATAAAGAGATCAACATCCGGTTCTGCCCGGGCTGCTGCTTGGTACATCCAATCACGAATGGTGACACCTTCACGATCCGCAAAAAATGATCCGTGCAGCATTTCGTTATTGACATCCCACTGCATAAAACTAAAAAATAGATAAATAAATAACCAACAATTTTATACATAGATAACAATGATACGTCTTTCGTTTGCATCGCACAAATTGGTTACTAAAATTGAATCATAAATACAAGTTTTTACGGTAGGAAAAGTGTTAGGATGGCCTATTCTATCCCGTCTGCCACATTTCGAGAAATTTACATCCAACTGGCAAGGCACAACTTTTCTGTTTCATTTTCGGCATCGGGGGCGCCTCGAACAGATCAATTCCATTTTCATCAGATATACTGGCATTCGTGAAGGCAAGTAAATGGCACTACTTGTTTCCGCTTCTTTTTTTTTCCACGGAACTATCCTATCAGCAAGCGTCATCCGAATGATACTCCCCTTACATTTAACATAAATAGGAAAAACTTACAACAATAAAGCAACAACAACAACATTCGTCATGACGATTTTGAAAACCAAAAAACAACAACTGTAACAATGACAGCAGCAGCGCTGCACAACTATCCAAATCCTGTTTGTATATACTAACCGTCCTCGATATCTTCCAAGGAGATTATTTAATCTCTCATTCAGTATTTCCTTCAGTTGGGTATTTGAGAGGTTCTTCACCCAAAAAGGAACTTCTGTATCAACTGCCCAGAACACACAATGGCCACGAATCAGTTTGCTGAAAATTGATCAAGAGCGATAATTGTCGAGGAAATGACCAATGGAGAATGGGTCGTTCACTCCTATAATTCCAATTCAAGGTAAACAATATCTTGTGGCTTTGCTTGTAATACGCTGTTCCACAGGTAGCTGCTTTCATCGATGACTTTTCTCTCTTCGTACTTGAAGGAACAAGTGCAATGCCAATAAACGATAAACTACAAATGCTCGGTTTACACGTCACTCATACAGACCAAAATAAAAATAGGTTGTATATAGAAGATTTCATCACGCTTATGAGACGATTTCAATTAATCTTAAGCCCCAAATTTAAGACTGAGTAAAAAAAAAAATGAAAGAAAACAGAAAAATATGTATAAATATTTGTTTGGTTATACCCTTACTTGTGCGTTTGCAGGAAATCTACAGCCTCGTCTGAAATTTTGTAGTTGAAAGAGCCCTGAAGTGAAACGTACCTAAAATAAGTTCAAAACGCGAATGATACGTCAGTTACTTTATATGAACTCTCCCTAAATCATTCTTCAAATAAATCAAAAAAATTCTTAATAAAGTGTGGCAAAATTTCCTTTCAGGCACTCCTTAAATGGCTCATAGGTTTTCACTTTCTGCGCTTTCTGTTTGACGCTATTCCAATGCTATTGCGTTCCAACGTTTTCAACTTTTAATCGCACCAGCAGGAAAAAGTCTCTCATTGGTAGCTTTAAGTGTTATTAATTGAGAAAACCTAACACTCATGGTGCTGAGGAACGAATTCATATGTAGTTAGCCGACTGAAGAGCGTTTGGAAATACCTGATAGAACTAATACTTCTTCGTCAAATATTTATCAGTTTCAGTGTATGCGAACAATGTCAAAGTTTTCAAGTTTCTCTGTTTTTGTTACTCACCAGAGTAGGTTCGACATAACTCCATTTCAGAGAACTCTCCAACACTGCCCATTGGAAGTTTTTGAGATAGAAATCGCGATATTTTGGTTTATGTAACAGGAAATTGCTGTTAACAGCCGCACCAAATGCAAACAGATGGGATTTTTGTCTTAGCTGGGGTTTGAAAAAACAAGGTATCGTAAGGTTCATCTAGTGGCTTAACTGATTAAGATTTCTAGATTTAAATAAGTCAATTCCTAAAGACAAATATTTATTACTGACAGCTTGTCACGAAGGTGAAAAGAATACGAAATCCTAAGACCTTATTAGGAATCGAGCCTCAGACCTCCGCGTTTAGACGTACCACTGCTAAGCTTCAATGACATCTATGATGCGTTAGGCCATTATGGACATTCTATATGACACAGCTCTTGTACTCTGCTAGCATTGGGAATGTCGACAACTCAGTGTACGTGAATAGAGAAAAAATAAACAGAGCAGATTTTGTGCTCGTTAGCGAATTAAAGAAGGACGATATTTTTAGTCATGTCACGAGCGTGGGATAAAGAAAAGAAGCTGAATCCCTGAGGAATATGACTTCAGACCTTTGGATTCTTGCCCAAAAACTTTTCTTTCTCTTTAACCTTAATTGCTTGGGACAAAAAAAAGAAACTGTTCCACATACTGTAATCTGTAGGTTTTGAAGAAAGTCCGCAGAATATCGTGTGCCTTGGATATTTACTCTAATCAAAAAAAAAAAAAAAAACCGAAACGAAAAACTTAGGTAAGAGCTAATAATGTACAAATATAGTTTGGAGGAGAAGCGCAATACTAAATGTTCAGATCCACAAAAAAACGAAAAATTAAATGTGTTTCAAAGTAAGTATCTGAACAGCTGCATATCTCAGTACCCTCCCCTAACCAAACAACAGCCAACTGATAACAATTTAATTAGTTTTAATATTAGGTTAAAGGAGGGGTAGGTGACCAGTTTCTTAATTACTGACATCGGTTCAAAACTACGTTTTCACCTTTAAGAAAAAGCAAATCGTAAAAACTGCAAAACTAATTACATGGCTATGATTAATCTAAAGCTCAATATTGCTCTTCGTTGGCGACTATTTCATCCGAAGAATGAGTGCGGTTTGCTGTGAAAGAAGTTACTTATTGACTATGAACGAACTGTCTATACGCTATTCTATCTTCTATCAATTTAAACAGGAAAAAAACCATTTCAAATGTTCTGCCCAAGAGTTTGGACTTCTTGGCTTCCCATACTTTACGAGATAGGAAGAGTAAAGGGTTTTGAGAAACTCACTCATCAATTTGAAACAACTCTTATCAAAGCACGCTTCCACAAACCTTAATCTCACATTTCTTTTTCTGTACTTATCAATATGAGCATCGCTGTGTTCTTTCCAGTCAGGTCTTTGAAGAACTTCACCGAGATACAAGTCGTCCAACAAAATGTCAACTGTAGGTTTGGGACCCTTAAAGTAAATGAACATGTACTGGAAGCCTGCCTTAGCCGCTGGCATTTCAAATGCAGTATGCCAACGGACCCAGCCATAATCTAGGAAAGAGTAAAATATGTTTATGGTAATTAACTTGACTTAAGGTCCGTCTCTTTCTGGCTTTAAAACCGCGAAAGAAAAGGAAAGAGTTAATCGAGGACACTGCTGGACAGTGTCAAGTTAAAATGGGGGTATTCTGAAAGTGTTCTTTCCATGTATGACATGATGTTAGCTAAAATTATCTACCAACCTTGGGAATATTTTGTCCTCTTAGCAAGACGCTTGCTCTTTTGTTTTTTATCTCCCCTTTTCTTGAAGCGTATCCATAACTCAAGGCTATGAACATCCCCAGTTTTTTTACGGTCCAGAAGTCTCGTCCATCCCATAAATTTGTAGACGCGTCCTGGCAAAACTCTGTTGCCTGAGTAATTTATAAGAAGTATTTTATTTAAACAGGGTAGAATACTTCAAAAGATAGAGAATACCTACAAAAAGCAATGGCACACTTATAAAAATATGTACAGTTAATCCTTTCTGAGAGTACGCTTGGTGGCTAGTTTCTGTACGTTCTGTTCGACAGAAGTTTAATGCAAATTAGTATTCAGCCGGCAATGCCCGAAATCCTACTAAGTCTATATGTTAGTCGTCCTGACAGCTGACCCTGTTGAAAATTAAAGGTGCGAGCAAAACTTATTTTCTTTTACCGTTACCTGTTGCTTGCAAATGGATCGTCGTGGTTGACCCATAAACATTTGGCATTAAAGCACCACTGCATTTTACCATGTACAATGGCAATGATATTTATCATGGCAAATTTACCTTGTATGATGTCAGCCTTACCAATGCAGATCTCCGCGGAAAAAGGGTCATTTACCATGACAACTATGCCTCGTGTAGTCAACCGTACATTTTGTCGTTACATTTTCTCGTCTGTGTGTGTGTGTGTGTGTGTGGGCGTGTGTGTGTGCGCGTGTGTGTGTAGGGGGGCCTGGGCTGGGCTGGGCGGCTAGGAAGGGGAGGGGGGGTTAAGTCAACAACAAAATTTGATGTTATACAATGTATACCTTCATGCTTTACTTAGTCACCAGGCTTAAATGTTGGCCTTTTATATTTACTTCATCTATCTTATTGCTTAATATTGCCGTTTGCAAAACCTTTACGAGTTTCTTGCCTTTTGCTCTAAATCACGATTCCAAATGAATTGAAGCAAAACGAAGCAACGAACACTTCGTGGTGTATGAGTTCTTACCTATGTACTGGCCAGGTCCCGCCCATTCAGAGAGACGAGCAAGGCATATACCGCTATGTATTCCTTCTTTGGGTCGTTGCCGACTGTATCGGGCGATATAACCTCCACGAGGATCATCTGTCTCACCTTGGCAGCTCCATCCCTTTATTGGGTCATTTACCAGTGGCTGTTCAAATCCTGGGTTGGTGAGAATGTTGATGCCACCAGTTGGCGGTCGGTATGCTGGAAATGGGATCACACAGGATTATCTGATCATAATTGCACACGAAAATAGAACGGAGAAAACATTGAAACAGCAAGAAGAACAACAACAACAACAACAAAACGAACAGACAAACAAAAACAACAACATCAACACACAAAAACCTACGAGGCATACTTCAATGCAAGTTGAATTCGGAATGTTTGAAAAAAAGGGGACAAGTTTCTAAAGAGACTGAGGTGCTGCGTCGGTGAGGATATTAGAGGATAACTTGGTTATATCAACTGAGTGGATAATGTGGAAGTGAAAGTGTAGTGCGATCGTCAGGGTGAGTGTAGTCCTGAGGAGGACTGTTGTCCGTGATGGGGAATGACGTTTCGACAACCTGTGCGGAAGTCATCATCAGAGGCAGAGCCGAAAAAATCAGTCACCGCCACCGACAACAATCCTTATCAGGACTACGCTCACTCGGACGTTCGCACTACACTTTTTCATGTTACCACCGGGTTCAAACCATTTACTCTATTCAGTGGATAATGTAAGTTAGCCACCGTCAAGAGTTTTTAAAGCTGGCGTTTCGAGCGTTAGCTCTTCCGCTCGAAACGTCAGCTAAAGAAACTGTATACGGTGGCCAATTTTCGTTATCAACCCAGTTGTTAAAACCAGATTAACTTCAGAAAAATTGGCCTCCGAATGTAGGGAGCATATGACTCAGAACTCTAAGGCTTTATAGTCCAAAGTTATGCTAAAAGATCGTACAGTTACATTTTAATCGGGTCCCAATATCAAGTAATGGAACACTCTCTTACCTCCAAAGTCACGTTCGTCAATCTCCTTAAATAGAGGCTGTAACATAAGTGGCTTGACTCGACCATTCTTAACCAGTGGGTGACGCGCCGCATTTGCAGGAATGACCGTGTTTTGATTCAAGGCATTGTTTAACGCGCCCATAACATTATTTGACACATGATCTCCATAAGCAGAATTATACAAATCACTTATGAAATTTCTCTTCTCTTGGTCCTCTTCATAAAAGAGACTCTTGCTTCCGGTCATACCTTTATTGAAGTGAATTGAAGAGTAAAAAATACTAATAAGTATAATGAGAACGATGTCATAAGATATAAAACCGTTGTCATCTGTAAAATGTAGAGAGCTACATTGGATAAGACACTCATATCGTCCACGAACAAATCAGCTTTCAGCAACACAGGTAATAAATAGAAATTATTCCATGAAAAGTGGGTACGAACGATTTTTATTCACGAGTTGCGATGCATCAAGAAAATGAACGAGTGCGAGCAGCGATTGGGTGAGTTTTTGATACATCTCAACGAGTGATTAAATATCATGGTAAGATTTCTTTATTTCTTGCATAATAAGATTTTTTCTTACTGACCGACAAATTTCAAAGATTAGCTAAGATTGGAAGCGAACGACTTTGAAAATACATCGTTCATCCAATCAGAGACACAAATGATAGTACCTCACAATGTAATTCGGGATATGTATGAAATAAATCGTCTCACCATCCAAGCTGTAAACATCCATTGCATTGAGTCCCCCTGTGCCATTGTGACATTTAGTGGAGGTGCCATACCGCATGTAGGTAAGTGCTCCATGAACACTGCCCACACATGCTGAGTTGTTCACAACTCCAAACACTGGAAACCCGCGAGAGTAAGCAGCTTTAGAACACTGGCGCAGTAGTAAAATATATGACTGTTGTTCTGGCGGGGTGAATCTTATTTGTGGAATAGAGTTGTTGTCTTTCCAGCAGCCCAGATAATCATAAACTAAGAATAGAAAAGTTAGTGCATAACATTGTCAAGAAACTCTCGGCTTCTTATTAGTGGACAAATGATTATTTTAGAAGGGTAGAAATATCTTTACAGTAGCGTTGACGGATCCATGGTCCGAAGTTAGCCATCGGGCATTACAAGAAATTTTCAATGTCCTACTTTGTGCCTCACATAGCCAATCAGAGCGCGCGTTCATCACAAAATACGCGTGATAATTTTTTGTAGTAAATGAAAGTTAAGTTGGTTTACCTTTCTGCGCCACCAGAAGTATGCAGGACTCCAGCAACAGAAATATCAAGGTGGGTTTCATTGAGTTTTCATACTCGTTCGCCTTGGTAGAATTGGCACTATTTTGTATAGCTCTCCTTTAAGTTTATGAAAAAAACAAACAGAAAAAAAGTTAAACATCCCACCATTTGTTTATAAATCAATACAAGCGTTAAAGATTTGAATTAGAAGTAGGAAAACCGGCATTTCTCTACTACTAAAGTTTGGGCTCAGTCATTGATTGAATTAACATATATTTCGCTCGTTTTCGAAGGAATAACATCTCTCTTTATTTGACCAGCGCGCCAAAAATTTACCACCTTTCTTTTCTATTTTCCACACACACCACATTACTGATCATGGCAGAATGCAGGACTCTTGTCGCACATTAACTTAGTATATGACTTGGCTCATTGTCGAGGTTCTCTGTTGCTGTGTGGAAGAGCATTGGCGCGCAAAATGTGAAGACTGAGGTTCGATATCTCGTACAAGACTCGAGTATTTCTCTGTCTCATGCTCGTGGCAAGGCAGGTGAAAATTTCTTTTCCAACGGCAATTTATTAGAAAGTTGTAAGGTGCTCATGAATACAACTTATCATTTCAGAGATATGTTTTGCTTGCAGTGGCCTATTCTGCCGCGCTTGACTTCAAGACTGCGACTTAATAATTACCACAATTTACCAGTTGAGAATCTGTATTTCTATGGCAAACGTCGTAGGGAAAATTTTAAAAAGAAAATAACGCATGTCGTCGTTGAAGAGAATGATAATTAACATAAGTCACTGGGACCTTATTAAAGTCATCTAAAATCTAAAATCAAAAGCAATTCGATTTACCTCAAGTTAGCCTTCTTAAGACTTTGAAAGATTGAAGTGAGAAACAGTACGTACCTTATGTTTTGCGGTAACTGGTTGTGATGTTATTTTCTGGAAAGCCACAAGATGGTCACGCTGCTACCTGTTGCACTATAAAGGTTTAACAGGAAACTCGTGGGCACATCACCAGCCACCTTCTCCCTTCATTGTTCACGATGCGATTGCTGTAAATGAATCCTTGGTTAAACTTTTAGAGGAATAGTTTGGTCACAGATTCGATGGGAGGTGATTTTGTTATCAAGAAAATTAATATCACCGTAAGATTTAAAATCAATTGTTTGTCAGTAGACAATGAAATAATAAAATGAAAACCATAATGCTGTTGCGCTCATGTACTGTCGAATCATCTTAAAAGCGTCCTATCCTAATGGCGATATTTGAGTATTTTCTACCGTCTGCGCAATTTTGAGCGCTAAATGCTGGTCTTTTGTACATTCGATAGGGAAAATTCACTGCAAAAAAAAAATTTAAATCTGCGTTGACATGCACAGGTGACCGTCTTGTATCAAATCACAATATCAAATAACAACCCGCAGGACAACGGGGATCATTGTTTGATCACCTGGCTACCGATAGAAAAACAACACAGTTTAACCCTTAACTTCTAGAAGTGATTAACAACTAACTTCTCCCTATGATATCCATGTATTATACAGCAAACAGGTCATGAGAATACTCGCACTTATCAGGTAGAAATTCTTATCTTGGTCTAACATCAAATTTTCGGAACTAATTTACAAGGAAGTGTGTAGCAATCAAAGGGTTAAGAGCCCCGTGACAGTGTGTGCACTCCATGAACCTCCCCCACCCCCACCCCCACAGAAAGGGTCTCAATGGGGTGATGGCTTTTACGGCTAGCATTTAATTTTGGAAATTATACGGCTAACGTTAATTTCTTTCCATGGTGATTGAAAGAATAGATTTCTATTTTTACGACTAACGGTTAAAATTTGTAAATTTTTATGCCCATTGGCCAAATATCTACCGTTTTCCCCCACTTTATGTTGGTTTACCAAGCAGGAGGCGAGTAATTTACCAACTTGTAAGTTTGTGTGTTCACCCAACATCCCAAGTAGGTTGATACGTCTTTAAGCCATTAGAAAGGGTGATCTATTTTATTAAAAAAAATCCAATTCTATGGGCTTACCTGTGCGATTAACGAGAGATTTCTGATCAATCAGGGCGCTCGTTGTGTCTCAGTTATTCTATGAAACAGAATAGAGCGCAGATCAGGCGCGTAGCAGGATCATTTTTTCAAGTACGCACAAGTACATATGATCTAGAAACCTAAGAAAACTGAGCGAAAAATACTGCGTTCTTAATTTCTTGTTTGAAATAGTCGTGTGAATACAAGCAAAGAACAAAGCGTCTTGCCCTTATTTTGAGCAAACTTGGAGCAAACACAACATTGTTTTCAAATTTTTCTGGTCACTTCAAGTACGCACGTGCCTATATGCATAGAGGACGCTACGCGCCTGCAGATGAAGCTTTTTTAATTTGTTGAATACAACGTAAGCTTACTTTGGCGTCCTAGTAGTTTCCTAAACTTCGATAAACAAACTTTTAGACTGTTGAGTTTTTCTCGCTACTGCAGGACTGTTGCTACGTCACTTCTTGCCCGTCCCTTCTGTTGTTGTTTTTTTTTTCATTCAGCGTTTCATTTCCGAAGAGGATAAGTGACTTGTTGAGAGGTGGGTATGGGACGCCTGTAGTGTCAGTACCAAGTGGAATCAGCGTCGTCAAGCCTTTTAATTTAAATCCATTTCGAACACAGTTACCACACTCTTTCAAATAGAATATTATAGAAAAATCCTTACTTGACTTGTGAATTCTGCATTAAATTGCACGAAAAATCCGATATCGCACAAAAATCGCGAGGCGATTAATGCGATATCGGTTTTCAAGTGCAATTTAACGCGGAATTCACGAGTCAAGTAAATGGTTTTTCCTGGAATCGCATAAGTGATTAAAAATAAAAAAAACAAGAACAAAACAAAGAAAACAGCATTACTTATAGTTATCATGTATACGTGGATGCGAAACCTAAGCAGCCTTGTTTTCAAATCGTAATTCCGCGCTAAATACCTCGCTTCGTTACCCAATCAGAATGCGAAATTTTATTTAAAACGTCTCTAATGCGTCGGTCCCAGATGCGGCCAAATTCACAGCACGCTTGAATCATTTTAATCGGCTAAAGTTTTAATAGAGGAAAGATGGTTACAGGATAATCTAAGAAAATCTAAAGCAACCTAGACTTGTACTTAAAATCATGACTTATTTAGTTCTTGCTCTCGAGCAACAAACTTAAATTGACCAATTTCGCAGTGGTGGTTAACAAAAAAGGTTGACAGTCATATGCAACAAAACTTGGGGATCAGCAGGTATTTTTAACGGAACCTCATTTTGGATTGAAGGTCATCTTTGGTGTATGTTTTGGGATTATTTGTTTACTTCGTGCCCATTTCTTATTTTTTCGCGCCAATCTTAGGTTTCACAAATGGCAACTACAAATTTACTTGGGTTGCAGTGAGGTGTCGAAGGTCAAAAAAATTAATTCCCTTCTTAATTTCTGGTATGTTTCTAGCAGTTTTCTTTTCGACAAAATATTAGAATATAAAGGGAAAATATCTTAATTTAGTATATACCACACAAGTGAAAAGTGCTTTTCGCGCGCGCTGATTGGCCAGTTCGGAAGTGAATAGCAAGTACGTACCCACTTCCGAAGAGCGTAAAGACGAAACTGTGCGTCAAGGGTTTCATTTCCGACCTTTTATGGGTATATCGAGAGAAAAAAAAACTAATTTTTTGATGTGTGTGGTATATAGTAAAGCAATTATTAACATCAGTGTCAGTGAAAGTGGTGGATTTGTACCTTGTCGCTAAGCGGCTCGGTATATATCCACGACTATTCACTACTCAGGGAATAGTCGTTAGATAATAGGAGTTTAAGCATAGGCTTACGTAAGCATGAAACTACCTCTATGTTGTGTTACAGTTGTTTTTCTGTTGTTCATGGGTCTTATATAGCCGGAACAAGCCTCGAACTTCAAAATAAACTTCATATTTACTTCCTATCCTCTTAATCTGAGTAGGGTCTTAAGAAGGAATGGTCAAATTTCAAATTTTGATTGATGGATACGGAACGTTTCCGGTACAAGACAGAGCCGTCATCCCCTCCAAATTCCTTCCCAAAGAAGTTGATTTTATTAACTCAGTTGACAATATATATTGGCGACCTTAAAGGGAAAGTACGGTCTAGAAAAAGTTTACATAGATCAAAATTTCCTTTCTTGAATTGTCCTAACTGGCTATTCACTTCAGCTAAAAGCGTTTTAGTTGCGAACAATTGCGTTCCAAAAATCAGCATTTTCAAATTGAAATCCGCCATTTTTGTTATGACGTAGAAATAGTCAAACATGCTAAATTATATCCCTTGCTGAAGTGGATGTAAACAAGAAAAAGTGCGGCGATGGGGGCGCCACCTATTGAATTCTCGACTTGGATTTTAATCTAGCGAGAGGATGTAGTACATCTGTTTTTGTTTCAAACGAAACATGGCTCGTCTTCAGGGGAAGGAGATACTTCTGTTGGGGAGAAAGACAGAGAGAAGGTCAAGAAAATGAATTTCAAGAAGAAACGTCGACCCGCTGAGTCGCTCACGTCTTGGAAATCGCGAGTGGTTCTCTTGCGGCAACTGTCAAGAGAAACCTACGGAAAACGAGAATGTATCCTCCTAAGAATTAAATGTACTAGGACACCGACTCAATT